CATCCCCTTAATATTACAGATAATTTATTGCGAAAGCTATTACCTCAGCCAGGGTCTGAACCTCGACTTCCCTGCACTCTAGGCGGGCGTCACACCAATTCGACCACTGAGGCGTGCGGCAATATTTGTCACAATAACCATAAAGATGTTGTCCTCGCGTCTATTTCTTCGACTTTTAAACTGCGCGCCGATAAGGGGTTGTCGACGGCACACGGAACTGTCGATACGCGATTTTTAAGTATGTCCCCTTTCCACCCCCTCCAGTCCCCCAATTCCGGGGGGGACACCATGTGTGAGATCGATGGTGTATAATCAGTAAATAAAAGTAACATTTATTTAATTTGGATTGGCACACGCGATTTCTTTCATATTATAAATTTAATTCAATCGCGTGCGAGAGATAGTGGAATGTGTCAGGCCACGGAATGTGTGTGCGCGTGTGTACCTGCCGTAAGGACAATAACAACAAATACGCGATTGATTTTATTGAAAATATATCAGAAGTTTGAAATGTCCGGCTCGTACCGTTGACAATTTTACTCTATAAGCTATTCCAAGTTTATTTATTTAACCGAGATCAATGCGAGTTATCTCGTCAACTGACTTTGACTTGTGTTTTTAAGCCCGCGCGTATTTCTTTCGGGAAAAATTAAACGTTTTCTTAAAAAAAAAAAAAATCAAGCGAATTGAAATTCATTTAACTTGGAACTTTTCTCGTGCTTCTCCGACATTCCGCGAAACAAGTCGAGTCGAAAGAGAGGTCTGAATCGATGCGAAGGATAACAGATTCGCGATCAAAATCACGCTGGATCACGAGAGGAATTGAACGACGGGGTCGTCGTCGAGGAATACGGCAGTTTTCACGGCTTATCGCGGGCGCGATTTGATAGACGCGCGGATCCTTTCCTGTTTTACAGCGACAAAGCGTAACACGCGTGGCCGTGGCGTCAGATTTTCCTCGAGTTTCATCCGTTTAGCGGCGGCCGATTAAAAGCTGCTTTGCGCGAGGATTTACGACCGCGGCATTCTTAGCGCCGTCGCGGAATTTCTCCCCTTTTCTCCGGGCGCGATGCTTGTCGCCGACGTGAGAGCGAAAAATATACGCCGGACGCCGGTGGCGAATACAAATCTGCGGGTCCGTTTTCACCGCTGTTATTCTTATTGCGGGACTTGGCCGCGGTCATGATATCGAAGCCCGCGATGGGGCAAGTCGGGAGGGATCAGTAGCGTGCGACGGAGGACATAAATCTTGCGAGATAAAAATTGCAACGTCAGATGACCCGATACGCTACGTAGGTACGAATAGTCCACCGCGGAATATATCGACGCGATTCATTATTCATCTATCGTTCGATATGCTCAGACGCGTTAAAAAAATAGATCTATTATAAATATCTGCCAGAAATACTACGCTGCCTATTTATTCCGATAAATGTATGCTGCGAAAGAGCATATCGACGATTCTATTTGGCGAGGTTTCTCTTGGAAATATCATCGCTTACGTCCCTTTACACGGATAAGGCGAAATGTAATTGGGGGAACAAACGAATTTCTTTATCGACAATTTGCTGCCGCACGGTGCAAACGTAAATTTATTACTTTTGGCGACGATCGCGTGTCAGAAATATTATTTATTCCGATAAATGTGTTGCTGCAGAAGAGTACAATGTGAGTCTAGAGCAGTTTAAGGGGATGCT